AAATTTTTCTTTTGAATCAAGTTTCTTTTTCTTTTCTTCAGATGGAAAAACTAAATAATAAAATTTATTTTTTTTTTTTAGTGTTTTAAATGAAAGAAATTGGTACACTGAGAGTAAATAATACTTTTTTTAATAATTTAATGTTCTTGACACTAATATGTAAATTGAAAATTTTAAATAATGTATTTTTTTGTCTGAAAAATTGGTCGAATTAATCACAATAATTTTAATTTAATTTAAATGAAGCTATTAAGCTATTTTTAAGTTGCTTTAAATAAGAAAAATAGATATTATTATTCTTTTAATTAATTTATTTTAATACAATTAATTTTTGAGTTAAGAAATCTGTTTCTGAACATATTTTTTAATTTTTACAAAAATACAATTTATTGAAGCATGCTATTAAATATTTAAAATTTATTTTCAGATTTTGGTATTAACTTTTAAAATTGTTAAAAAATAATTTTTATCTTTTATTACTGTTTTAAATAATAGTATTTATTATCAATTACCATTATTATTTATTATATAAAAAAAATCTTGTTAAAAAAAATAATTTAAAAAAATTTGGATATTTTAAATCAAGTTAAAAAATTTTTAAACTAAAAAATTCTTAACTCAAAATTATTTTCTCGCTTTAAAATTTTTTTCTTATGAACTAAGTTAATTTTTTCATCAGTATAGTTTATATTTTCCGGATAGACCTAAATAAAAATAAGTTACTGTCCTCTTGAGAGCACAATTATCTGACCTTGTTTATCTCACCCAATTCAACAGTTAATTTCCTTATTTTACACTTCCGTGTTTCCGAGAGATGTTGAGGATATGGGTTGCTTTTAAATTTAAAATAAAATGTACTGGTGGTACTCATTTTTTCAATCTAGGGATGTTCAAATGAGGATTAATGATGTTTTTGTTTACTGTTGCTGGTGATATACATCTAGTCTACTATATATACAGTAATTTATATAGTTTATATACTATAAACGCAGGCTGCACATGGAATTATTCAGCGAGACATATGGTCGACTTAACGCGGAGTTTATAGCCCACAAATAAATTGACAAATTGTATAAGCGAAGCGTTTAAAAGTTCCCCTATGTTTTACAATCTACAGTCTTACCATATTTTTGGTAATTTCGTGAAGGGCGAACACTATTTTTCACTCAACACTCTAATTGATTATCGATTGGGACCAGCATGTCTTTTTAATTATGTTTAGATTAGTTTTTATTACTTATAATGACTTTTGGAAATTAATAAATTCATTTAATTTAAATAATTGTAAATTTTTTATTTTATTGATAAAAATCTGCAACTGCAAATATTTATAAAATATCATTTAAAAAATTTTGGCTCAATTTTTATTTAATTTTAATTATTCATATTCTGGGTGTTTTTTTAATGAATTAAAAAATTTCTATGAATTAATTAATTATAAATAATTTAATAAAGGAAAAAATTAATCTTATTTTTCCATCCAAAAAATTATTCAAAATTAAAAAAAACAAATTTTCCTAATATTGTAAAATAGTTCAAAAATTGTTTGTAAAATTATAAATAAATTTTTTTGTTTACCTATATATTTTTTCCGTGATCAAAATAATAATAATTTCATATGTTAGAATAATAATAATAAGTTCAAAATTTTCATTAATCCAAAAAAAAAAATAATAAAAAATTTGATGATAATAATAATAATAATAATAATAACTAGCAACTATGTGACTACCGTGACTTGTGAACTAATATATAAATGAATAAAATTTTGCTTTATTAAATAATGACTTTTGTTAAATTGCATTGTACTTTTTTAACTATTGACGTTTTTAAAGATATAAGCTCATCCTGATGTTACACTCATCAAGAGCTTTCATTTGAGTACCCACATGCATTTTTGATATATTTTTCATATATACATATATATGATATATATAAATGTACATAAATATATGAAAAATTGATGTGGGTACTCAAATGAAAGGTCTTGATGAGTGTAACATCAGGATGAGCTTATATCTTAAAAAATGTCAATAGTTCACAAGATACAAGGTCATTTCTTAATTATGTATCTAGAGATAGAGCATTTTCGAATGCAGCCTAAATACTTATTATTATAAATTCACTATCGGTGAGAATGCTATGAAACCTTGAAAAGGCACAAATTCAAATCAAGACTTTTGCAATGACACTTAATATCACTAAAAAAAACCGATTTTATCATATGGCTATACTGGATCAAAAATTTTGCTTATTCTCTTAATAATATAGATAATAAACAGGATTAAAAAAAAACGAAAAAAATTATTAGTAATAATAGTTATATTTATTTCAGCTATCTCACAATTACTTTTTATGTGTATGTGTATATTTATATACTCGATAATAGTTCGTTTATACATATATACATATACAGGACAATAATTATATTTATATATATAATATATTAATAATCAATATTCATATATATTTATAATCAATTTTTCATATACTCTCAAATCTCAATTTAGTTTCTTCTTTCAATTATTTGTATATAATTTATATTTAATAATAATAATAATGATAATATTAATTATAATATATGTATATATATATAATTTGGTGTTGATTTTTTGTCGCGCCAGCTAAATAAATACTTTTTACTCATTATCTAATTATACAATCGCACAATTTGTGTCTAAGTATCATACATCTATCGTTCCTGATCGAAAGTCCCCTTAGCAATTACTCTTTATTTATTTATTTATTCATTTATTTATTATCAATTATTTAAATATTTTTCCAATAGTAAAGACACAAAGTATTACAAAGTTTTATTCGTGATTAGATTCGATGACAAAAAATTACTGATACAATTAAAATTCATATATGTGGTAATAATTTATGAACTTTTTATTTAATAGACTTGTTCGTATTTCTCATGAGATACTTGAGCAAACGATAGGACGATAAGAAAAGATTTCGATTTAGTAATTGGTTAATTTATCAAAGATGCAATCGTCTTTAATCGAATCTCTAAGTCTTATTCCCTTGATTTAATTTTAAGTACTTAGTAATAATAATTATACATCAATATAATAAATAATTCGGTAAATATCAAACACTTAGAGCGTTATATAAAACCCTGTTTAAATTAATTTACAAACTTGTGATTCTGAAAACGGACAATCATACTTTTCAATTTTTATTTATAATTTTTTTATCAATTGATATTTATTAATTTTTATATTTAATTACAATTTTTACTCATTTTTATGACTTTAAAATTTTTTTTCTTTAAATTAAAAACATTAACTTACTCTCAAACTTTAAAATTAAATTTTTTAAATAAAAATAAAAATTTTAATTTCTTAAATTAAAAAATTTTATTCTTAAATTACAATCTTAAAAATTTTATAATAATTTCAATAATTTTTAGTCATTTTTATGAGTTTAAAAAAATTTTTTTTTTTTAATTAAAAACATTAACTTATTTTTAAATTTCGAAATTAAATTATTAAAATAATAATTCACTTGAAATAAAAATTTTAATTTCTTAAATTAAGAAATTACATTCCTAAATTAAAAATTGAAAATTTTTTTAATAATTTTTATGACTTAATAATTTTTTTTTTCAAATAAAAAAAATTAATTTATCTTCAAATTTTGACATTAAATTATTTGATTAAAAATTTTCTTGTAAAAAGAATTTGTTTCCCTTAAATTAAAAAATAAAAAAATTTTTCTTTTTAATTATTAAAATCTACAAAAAAAATTATTTTATATTTAAGCAAAAATCCGTTTTCAAATTCACCAAAAAGTCTAAAATATTAATAATAAAATTTAATAATACATTAAAATTCACAATCCTCAATAAGAATAAGAATAAGAATAAGAACAATAATAATTCAACAATAAAAAATTTATCGACTTAAGTCGTGCAGTTACGAGTAATAAAGTACTTAGACCACTTAGCAATTAAAACCTCGTAGACTTTACACTAGAACTATTATGTTCTGAGCAATTGAGATCTATTTGGAGGGACTCATCGTGAAACCTGGAACGAATATATAATTAAACTATTTTAAATACTTATATATTCTCTTGAAGTCATTCACACTTTACATTATTTCTTCTTCCACTCACACTCATCTGAGGGATTAAATTGACATACGTTTCGTGACTTTCCTAATTACATGACGGCGCTTACATTAATACAATAGTCATAATATATATAATGTAAGTTACAATTAGCATTACCTTGATTTATTGCCTACTTTATACTTTAATTTTAATGACATTAGATTATTAATGCCGTCTACCAGCCTCGAGGAGTTTTATTACAATGACTCAGTCGGTTTAATAAAATTACCATGATCATGATTCTAAATGTTATTACAATTATAATTTTACATGCGTTAAAATGTCGTAATAATTTTCATTAGGCCAACAGTTTGCTTAATTAAAATAATGAGTATAATTTCGATCGAGAATGACTTTAGATAAAATTCGTAAGACTAGTAAATGTTAAATTCGATATTTTAATTTTCGATGAGAAAATTACAATCACAAATTACGTTGGTTCATTTCTAGTTTTTTGAATTGTATTATATTTAATTTTTACAGAAAAATTTTTCAATAATTTATTTTTTTTTTTCAAAATTTTATCAAATATTATAATTAAAAAAGAAATAAAAAATTTTTTTAAAAGATTAAATTATTTAATTTAAAAAATAAATTAATTAAAGGAGTAAAAATTATAAAAAATTATTCAAATTTTTAATAAATAAATTTATATCAAAAAATTTCCTGTAAAAATTAAATAAGAAACTCTGCAAAAAAATAACGAGAAAAAATTATTATTATTAAATTAGTAAAAAACGACGATATTATTAGTTTAAAAATTTCCTTAATGGTCATTGTGATGTCACTGTTTATCAATAATTGTTACTTAAAGTAGTAATAGTCAATATTAAATAAATAAACAATAATTATAATTGTAATTATCATTAAGTGGTGGCTTATCTGAAGTACTTGAGTCCCGCGACAAGAAGGAACTTCTCAATAAATAATTCAGAGTCAAGGACGGCGATATGAGCAGCGCGTCCAATCAATGCGTTTGCCGTTGGTGGTAATGCATGATGGACATCATAGCGTACGAGACTGACACCTGAGGCTGACATTATAGGGTACAAAATATTGTGGACCATTTCTCTGTACGCGGTACCTGCAAAAATCAACCATTGATTATTAATTTAATTTATTATTTATTATTAGATTATTACTTAGAAGGAAAATTTTAAGGGGTCTTAAGTAATTGGAATTAGAAAAAAATATTAATTTTTTTTTAACTTCATTTTTGTAATCTAGATATATTTAAGTATGTACACAGAAAATTTGATGTCAATCGGACAAGAATTTTAAAAGTTATCCGGATATTTGCAAAGCCTAATCGGAGCGTTAAAACTTCAATTTGGCTGAGCCCGGACAATTTTAAGTGCCGTTTTCTCAAAACTCGATTTTCAAAGTCGGTGAGCAAGATTTATCGAACAACCGCTGATAAAATCAGTCTCTAATTTAGAAACTATTTTCTTAACTATATTTTTCAGTAATTGATCCAAGGATTGGTAATTCCGATGAATATTTTAGATTTTTTTAAACAATTTAAGGCTAAAATTTTCATTGAAAATTGTTAATTTTTTTTTGTCAACCCGCCTATTTGTTAAAAATAGATATTTTTATAATTCCTTGGATTAATCACTGAGTAATATTTTATTTTAGTGGATCTTTTTTGGATTTTTGAATTTCGATGATTCAAAGTTAAGATATCGTGCTCGCCGCAAGTAACCTTTTTTAGAGAACCTTCCGGAGATCGTCTGCAGGAGCTAGAAAAATCATTATTTGTAAAAAAAAGAACTTATTAATAAAATTAAAAGTTCCTACTATATATCTAACAATTTTCATATTTATCAATTAAAAAGTCTCTTTAGAATTATAAAAACGTCGCTTTTTTTCTCCTAAATACTGACTCTTTTATTTCAATAAAGAATTTTCAATTGAAATTTTAAAAATAAAATTTAATTTTTATTTACAGGTCATTATGTCGAAGCCTGTCAGAAGGATTTAATAAATGAAGAGCAAATGTACAATTTAATCTTGAAGGAATTAACAGAGGGTTGTGAAGAATATCCGAGTATCAAGGCAGGATTTATCGGCGAAGTTGGAAGTTCTTGGCCGATAACTGGTGAGTATTTTATAAAAAAAAAAAAATAAATAAATAATAATAATCTTCAATGATATTAAATCAATTGAAATTACCTCCTATATATCTATAAATTTTTACATTAATTATTTAAAAAAGAAGATTTTTCTCACCTTGGTCAGTTGGATCACGTACGGCAGCTTTGCAGAGCTCGATCCGGGCCGAGTGGAGAGGAACGTATCTATCCTGAGCACTACCACAGAGCAAGACGTGTTTAAACCTCTGCAAGTTGCTCTTCTGACTCAGTCGGAACATGAAAGATCTCCTAACATCTGAAGCATCCTTCATTGCGAGCTGCAGCAGAGATCCGGACTTTTTCCATTTCTGCATGAACCACATTCCTGAAAAGGACGAATTTGTTGAGTTTGAGTTTATAAGTTTGATTGGGGCATGGTGGATAGTTTCACCAAATGGTAGAAGGTTAACGAACCGGCATTGACAAGTCCACTCGTGTTGTAGAGAGTTCCTAGATGTGGTCCACTTAGACTGAGAAATGTGTGGAGTCTCGGCAACAGTGGCCTCAGTTGTGGCCTCGTTAATGCACTGCGTATTATTATGGTCCCCAGTGAGTGCCCAATGAAACTTACTTTCGTGGGGTTTAATCCTGATGTGTCTATGTGGTGGAGGATCTCCTCCACCAGTCGGTCAGTCATTGTGTCGAAATCCGAAAATGTATCACCCTTTTAGGATAAAAAAAAACTTTTAAGCCGAAAAGTTTGTTTTTTGCTGGGATTTTATTAGAGACAAAGTGTAAGAGGAAAAAATCGAGGTAAATACTTTTGAACTACAAAAGATTTTTTTTTTTATTTTTCACTTCTTGAATTAAATCTATATTATTAAGAGAATAAGAACAATTTTGTTTCCAGGATAGTCATATGGTAAATCGGTTTTTTAAGTAAAATTTAGTGTCTAACATTTAGAAATTTTTTTTAATTTTTTTTATTAAAAAAAAAGTTTGCCTGCCAAATTGATGAAAAATTTGATTTATGAATAGAATATACTTGAGTATAAATATTTTTAAGAAAAAATACTTGAAATTAAGGTCTTAAAGTTATAAAAAATTCAGCAATATTAAAAAAAATTAGGTATAAAAATTTTGCAGTTACTGTGTTTTAAAATTGGGCAGCCGAGGTCTTGACTTGAATTTGTGCCTTTTCAAGTTTTAATTTTATTTTCACCGATAGTTAATTTAATATGATAAGTATTTAGGCTGCATTTGAAAATGCTCTATCTCTAAATACATAATTAAGAAATGACTTTGTATCGTGTGAAATATTGACATTTTTTAAGATATAAGCTCACCCCGACATTACACTCATCAAGACCTTTCATTTAAGTACCTACATCAATTTTTCGTATATTTTATATATTTATATATATGTATATATGAAAGATGTATCAAAATGCATGTGGGTACTCAAATAAAAGCTCTTGATGAGTGTAACATCGGGATGAGCTTATATCTTTAAAAATGTCAATAGTTAAGAAAGTACAGAGCAATTTAACAAAAGTCATAATTTAATCAAGCAAAATTTTAATTATTTATAGTTCACAAATCACATAGTGACTGCAAGGTTGCTAGAATTATTTTATTTCATAAAAACACTTTTTTATAATTTGACGGAAAAAAAGAAAAAAAAATTATATTTAATTGCAATTTTATAAAATATAATCCCAATCAATTATATTACAGTTTCAAATATAATTTAACAAATTTAAAATGTATGTCTTACGAAGTTTGTACAAGTTTATATTTTTTTTTTTATTTTCGAAGCGTCTAGTTTATAAAAAATGTAATTTAATTTTTCTTTTTTTCCGTGTATGAATATTTAAAATAAAAATTTTCCAAATATTTCAAACTAAATGATTAATTTTAATTATTCGAAAGGTCTCAATGGTCTGAAAAATTCAAATAGTACGAATGGTACTATTCAATTCGAAAATTTTCACACTTCAATTTTTTTCCGATATTTTTTAATTATTTAATTAGAATTCTAAATATAAAGACAAATATTGATATTTTTTTTGTTAAAAATTTAATTAATTTTCATTTATTAAGCCATGATATTTTTTTTTCAGTGCATATGCACCATAACGATAAATTTTTGAACCTTGAAAATTATTTAAAGAGTTTATTTTCCATAAATCAAGACAAAAAATTCTTCAATCAAGAAAAATTTAGATCAAGAATTTTTTTACTTAAATTAAAACAATGAATCTCTTTAAAATAATTTTCAAGGTTCAAAAATTTTTCCCTTTAATCAATTAAAATTTTTTCTGTGAAGTAATAATTAAAAGTCTTAATTGATAAAAAAAGGTCTCATCTCACCTGATTTCTTTCAGACATAAGAAAATCCAAATGAGCCCCGGGTAACCCGAGCTCAAGATAAGTTTTAACGAGTCTCAAGTCAGCAGCGTTCCCTTCCAGCCCATGAACGCAAATAATAAGATGAGGTCCCTCGGGAGAGAATATCCTGTACTCGTCGCTGATGTTGAAGTAAGGAAGGCTGCTGGCCACGCCGGTGTAGTCGCTGGAATTCGATTGAAAGAATCTTAACAACAATTGCAATCCAGCTCCCTCCCACCCCCTAGTTTTTAGGAACGAGTAAAAAACAAAACAACACACCTGTACATTTTCCCGGAGAAGCTCATCTGCCTTTTGAACTCCTCCTTGCACTTTTTGAAGTTAATGACGTCGTCCTGCGTCGACTGGAGCAGCTCTTTGCCTTCTTGGTAGCAGTCCAGACAAAAGTCCCTCGCGTAGACGCTCTCTCGTTCCCTTTCAACCCTGTCGCGGCTCCTCTGGGGGCTGCAAGGGGCGGTTTTGTTCTGCTTTGGACTCCTGGCGCGCTTCACGGTTTCGTAAACGTGGTAGAGCGGGTTGTCGACCATCGGAACCGGGGCGGGGGCTGGGGCTGGATCTCTGAATGCTTCTGGAGGCGGGGGCTCGTCTTGGAACATCTTCGGCGGCGGGAGTCGCACTTCCTCGTAAGAATGCTCTGGTATCTTTTCTTTGCCGCTCTTTGTTTTACTTTTCTTGTCTTTTGCCACTGGAGTTTTGTTCATGTTCATCTTTTTCTCTCCTATTGTTATTTTTTTAATCAATTATTATTTTTATTTTTAATTAATTATTGTAATAGATTTTTATAATTGTTAATTTATTATTTATTAAATTTAATTTATTAATAATTTTTCAATATTTGTTTATAAATAAAAATAAATCAATCATTTTTTTCTACACTAAAAAAAATGAATCAACTAAAAATTACTTAAAAAAAAATTTCTCAGATTAAAATTAAGGCGATAAATTATTTTCTTGATTCAATTTGATTTTTTTTTGTGTAAAAAAATAAATGTAGGGTACACGGAGAAAATTTTATAGTAGAGTTTATTATCTAGTTATGTTAAAATTTATTAACTGAATTCAATAGAAGTAAATATTATTTAAATAATTAAGTAAACCAACTGAATTGTCGTATTTACCATCATGACGGTAACTACTACTATTATGATGGTAATCAGTAATAATAACTGTTATTATTTTAATTTAGTTACTTACGATTATCAAAATCGTAATTCCTAATATAACCTGATGGTTGCAGTTACCATCAGTAATAATAATAACTACTATCTAAGCTAGTAAAAAATATTTAAAAAATTAAGAATCTGCGTTACCGTGGATGCATTTC